GACATTTTCATGCCTTACTATACTATGACATTTCATGCCTTAGTATACTATGACATTTTATGCCTTGCTATACTATGATGATTTTTGACATTTTCATGCTTTAGTATACTATGACATTTTATGCCCTACTATACTATGACCATTTTTTACATTTTCATGCCTTACTATACTGACATTTTATGCATTGCTATACAATGACATGTTATGCCTTACTATACTATGAGGATTTTTGACATTTCATGCCTTACTGTACTATGACATTTTTTGACATTTTCATGACTTACTATGCTATGACATTTTATGCCTTACCATACTTTGACGATTTTTGATATTTTATGCCTTACTATACTGTGACATTTTATGCCTTACTATCCTATGACCATTTTTGACATTTTCATGCCTTACTATACTATGATATTTTCATGCCTTACTATACTGTGTTGTTTTTATGCCTTCTAATGTGTTGGCATGTTATGATGTTATATGTACTTGCCTAACTTATATTTCTGTACTTTTTATTTAGGTATAAGTTGGTGAATGCACATTGACTTCTAACAGAGTATTTATATTTTTGCTTCTACTAAAGTAAATGATGTGAATATTTTCGCCAGTGACGACTTCCACCAGTCTGTTAATGTGTCATGGATCTATGTCATAGATGGAAATTCATTTACGGTGAAGTAAATATTATTTGTTGTATTATTTATTAATAATGTTCGTTATTTCCATTGACAGTGGAAACAAAGCTGCTTGTTGCTCAAAGTGAAATGAATCTGTCATTAAATGTGATTAAATCATGGATTAAGGTAATGGACTGGAAGTCTGTTTTTCATTTTAAAGTGTGGCAGCACATATTGTATATTGTGTTCATGTTTTTCAGATTTTTCATCTTGCACCAGTGGCAGCAGAACAAATGTATTTTAATGGCAGTTGATTCTGCAGCATCTTTTCCTTTTTGTAAAGACATTGTTTTCTTTGCTTGTCACAAAGTGCTCGTCCTTTTTGCAGCAGTGCTTAGAGTTCAGCATCTTGTTCAGAAACACCTGAGCAGAGATCAAACCTTTTAGTGACCTTCCATCACAGTGGACAATCTCTCTCCGGTGCACTAACCACCGAGCTGCATGTGTCCTCCATGAAGTACACAGTAATCAAGGTAAAATTGAGGGGGTGGCAGTAAACACTGGTTCAATTCTATGGACAGAGTGGAAAAGTGTGTGTATGTGTGTGTGTGTGTGTGTGTGGTGAATATGCCACATGCAGTATAAATTGGCAGGCAGTGTCCTCACAGTATCAATGCAGGATTTATACTGGTCTCAAATACATATCTTTATCTATAATAAGGGATGAATTCAATAATTTTCAGGGTGTCATATGATGGAAGTGAGCATTTAGCATCAGCTGTTTTACATTGTTACATTATGACAATTTTATTTTAGAAAATTGATGATATTGAAAATAAGGGAATATTAACACAATACAGTAAAATAAAATAAACATCAATATTATGTCATATTTAGATATATTTCACAAATTATTATAAATATCTGCACATTACAGGTCAAAGTTAAAGCTGGACTTGGATCAATTGGGAAACCAGATTCATTCTGAGCTGAGCTGTGATTTAATTGACATCAGTTCATGTGTGCTACACTCTTCATCCACCAGGGGGCGTCTTGGAACAACACTGTTCACTGATGAACCCGATTTACAGCTGCTGTTGCTGTTGGTGACCAAAAACATTACTTACTTCTAACTATTCAATGAGTAAAACTTTTATTTCTAATAAATACAGAAAGGTTCATGTGAGTCTGATTTGTACTTATTGTCACTGAGAGTTCATCTTTTCATACTTAATATTTCACTGTTTCACATTTAACAGAGATAATCATAAATAAAAAGGCTGAATGCAGCCAGAACTCCAGGGGCCCCCAAAGATGCAGAAGACCCCAGGTTTTCTGCACCCCCTAAAACATCCATCCATCAGCTGTAATGCTAAAAAAAGAAACTTGATTTTATAATGCACTTGAAAGAAATTGATTTGCATTGAAAAAAGAATGCAATATTTTACATGTTTGGAGAAAATTAGAGGTTAGGACTGAATTATAGACTAAAGTGACTAAAACATAGTGGTGGAGGAATAATAATGATCCTACTTAAGTAAAAGTGATAATAATGTAAAATACTATATTACAAGTAAAAGTCAGTATTAAAGGTCCTCAGTATTTTCAGCTATATTAAAGCATCAAAAGTTCATATAGTTATAGTGTGTTAGTAACATAGTATGAAAAATGTGAATTAGTATAGTAACTAGAAACAAAAACTTTCAATAAATGTGGGAGTGAAAAGTACAATAAATGTTTAAATGACCATTAAATGGAAAAACTCAACTGGACTTGACTTCCACTACTGATATTAGGGCTTTAAGGTGGGTCCTGTTTTACCACCTATTGTTCTGACTCAGCTCACCTGTGACCAGGTGATTTCACATCACAGCTGTAACAACTCATTCCTCCCCCAGGTTACATGACTGTGAGTACTTCAAGTTTTCAGTCTTATCTGTACTAGTCCCTGTGATGAAAATGATGTGTCATAGTAAACAAGTCAGTTTGAAATATATGAAGAGGCTCAGCAGCATCACTGTCAACACTTGTGCTACAAGCATTTAACTAATTTTCCATTCACTGGTTCAAACCAGGAAAAACAACACACACAACGCTGAATTCTTCATGAAAATTTGACATTTTAATGGAAACTAAAATTGTGAACACTGGAGTTTTCTTCTTTTTTTTTTTTAATGACTCTATTACATTGTTTGGAATTTGAGGGTTATTATCATGCTTTAAAAAAACAACATTGTAATGTGACACTTCTGTTAAATTCAAAACAAAAATTAAATAATCAGACTGCTCACTTAAAAAGTCAACCTGTAAGACATCTGAGAAAACAAATGCTATTGCCTCTTATTTTAGGGGGGCACTAGGTGTAAAAGTGAGAAAAGAATGAGCAGACTAAAAAAAAACAAAAAAAACTACAACAGCCATTTGAGATGACGAATAAAACAAAAAGATGACTCGGCACAACATCATCACCTCCCTCTGAAGACACGTTGTTTTCTCCCCATGTGGAACCAGAAACACTGTACCTCAGGTGTCACTGAGTAAAACAACAAAAAGCCCCCTAAATTAAAACATTTCCACAAGAGGCAATGACAGTTTAAAGGAGGGACAGTTTTTTTTTTGTTTGTTTTTTTTTGGTTTTTTTTTTGTTGTTTTTTTTTTTTGTTTTTTTTTTGTTTAAATCGAGCACAAACACCAAGTCCAGCATTTCCCATTACAGACAACTGATTACTGGATGAAGAAGCAGCACTTTCGGTATTTGTTTTATCTTTTTAGATTTCTCCTCTCACACCGTTTAACACCACACTCAAAGTGACATTCAGCTGCTACAGTAGTGACTTCACTAAAAACTCCTCCAAACCCAGCACGATGTCAGGAAGCTGGTTATGACATCATCAACAACATCCCCATCTGTGCGTTTGCCATTCAGTAGCTGAATATCTGAGTAGTGTACCTTTGGCGAAAGCAGATTCAGAGTTGTTGAACTGCACATTAACCCCCCCCCTCCCCTCCCCCCTCCCCCCTCCTCCAAACATGATCAACAACACTACGACAAATAAAAATATATTAAGAGGAACTCTGGGACGCAGTGAATTTCAATGCTCATCACTCCATCACAACTATCTGAAGAAATGCATTAAAGTAATTTGTATAAAATCTGCTGGAAAAGAGTAACTTGAAATATATTAACACTGGTGCTGTTGGGGAGAAAATGGGTTTTACATCAGCCTTAATCAATAACTAAATCATCTACTACTTATCAGAAATGAGACATCTTGATTCTGTATCATTGCTTCCTTTTAGACTCATCCTACTTGTGCATCTATGGATAAATTAGGTTATAATTCAAAAATAAAATGTTTTTAAAACATGTTAAAACATTAATTTGTTAAATCAATTCAAATTAATTATGTGCTACTTCAGACATGAACTAGACAATGGACTGGCATGAGTATACACCAGTGAGCGTCTGTCATCCGTCCCAGTCAAACTGATTTTGGCTTCAGGTCACACTTCTGAACAAAAGCCACAAAAATTTCAAAACACACAAAACGCTCATCGCTCTCAGCTGCATCCACGTCACTTAAACAACAAAGTAGGATTAGCTGTGAAAAAACTTTAACAGCAAATGTTACAAAAAAGAAGAAGAAAAAAATGGCACGGATATATGCTGGAAGCTGATTTTAAACAATCAAAATTGCTGTAAAAGTATATTTTTTCACACAGGCACCTGAACATGATACAACGGGAGAGGGGAGGGTGGGGGACAGGGGTTCAAAAATATATGAAGAACTTGCATATAATAGGAAGAACTCGCTATGCACACACACACACAAAAAAACAAAACGAGGCCAAACTCGCCACTCAACCTGGAGCCCTGCTTTAGCGTCCTTAAGGTGATTGCACATCCTGAGGGGGTGAGGGTATAAACTCCTCATGACCAGGCTTCTCTTTCTCCACTCACCCCCTTCCCCCGTCACTGATTAAAACATCTACTCAGCTTCAAGAACCTGTTTTTGGTTTGCAGGCTACAATGCTAATAGTTCTGTCTTTATAAATGCATATTCAGCGTAGCCTTTTCGCTGTATTAAGTGCTTGAAATAGAGGAGCCTTGGGGTGGGAGGATAGGAGATTCTCTTTTTTCCCTGTACCAGGTCCATCCTCTCAAAAAACAACACAAAAATATTTCAAAAATTGTAAAAATCATTGTAAGACTACAGTAACATCACAGACGATTCATCGCGATCACCCTGTTTTACAATTAGAAGCTTACAGATGCATCACTGTCCACTGATAATGCTTTCAGCCTGAAAAATTTGGCATTAACTGCATGGTAACCTGATTATATTACTTGGTCTATGGATTATGGGCAGTCAGAAAAAATTAAACTGCAGGTTTTGTAACTTTATGCCAGATTAAACGTCAATTTCCAACAAGCACAGAAAAACACAAAAGTCTAAATGCTAATGGGAAATATCTCCTCAAATACCCTTGCGTCCTCTTCAACCAAATCCTGACACAATTGTTCTTATTCAGAGGGCAGCATCTGATAATACACTCATCCATCATACACTATACAGTGGAAGCCAAACAAAGCATTTGAAACACCAGAGAGCTGATGGTGATTAGACATGGAAGTTAAATGTCAACTTTTACAAAAACATGACTTTCTCTCTGCTCATGGGTCCTCATCAGGACACAGTAGAAACAAGTGTACTTGAAAGCTTATTCCCAGATTGTAGCCACCCCATAAAAACACCACTGATGTTCAGCAATAATAAAATTAAGAGGCGCTTCACTATGAACACATGGGGAAGAAAATGAACCACCAAAGATCAAAGATTACAGCCTAGTATACATTGAAAACAGCGCATGGAGCAATGTGCTTATTTCTTTTCTTTTTTTTTTTTTTTTTTTTTTTTTTTTTTTTTTTAAAAGGGGAAATTAACATTTTAGAGCCCAACATGATCAATGACAGCACCTTGCATGTCATGAGTGTTTTCCTCAAAAGTAATTATTTGGTGTTTTGTCACAACATCATATGAGACTCTATGTAATAGGACTCCAATTCAACAGTTCCAATTTTGAGAACATTACATGACAGGGACCATTTGGCAAAAACAATATTTAACATAGTCATGGCTTTATCGACACTACCTGAGTTACATTTAATAATTCTGTATTTATCAACTTTTTTCTGAAAAGTAACAGCCCAAAGCCATTCTTTCAAGGAGTATTTCTTGTCAGTACATATAGATCTCTCTAGTAATTAAAGATAAAAGCAATTAGTTTACATAAAGTGCTATTAATCCACACATTAACCAAATCATATCTTCTAGAGCAAAGAAACCTGGACAGTTCCTTTATGTTGAATAAACCAATCCTGATTTGGAGATGGTGATGAAAGTGATGTCACAGCTGGCCAGTTAGCAGTTAGCAATTTTGGGCTCCACGGACTTAATTAGATCTTTCAACATGAAAAAAACAAAAATAAAATAAAATAAAATAAATCACTTGTGCAATAAAGTGAAAATGCACCTTAAACATTTTGAACAAACAAATGAACTGCAGGCCACACCAGAACATTGGGTGATGATTTTGTAGCTCCATATAACCCATTTCTCTCGTTGCATGGATCACATGGTGTTATTGCACACTGGTTTGCAAAGGTTATCCACAGTAAAACATAAGAGTACAACTCATCTTCACATTTCGACATAGTTTGACAAAGTGGCTAGTCTGGGGAACCTAGATTAGTATTGTTGTTGTGTTACTGTAATCTTTGTGTGGCGATGAACAGTGACCTCTGACTCATTCATTTCCACCAGTAAACATGCAGGAAATACAATGCCATAAGACCGAAAAATAAAGACAAAATGCTGAGTCAGGGAAAATAAAGAATCCCTAGTCATTAAATGCAACATGTTCCTTTGAAAAGAGGAGTAGAACGAGACAGAAATGCAGGCAAAATAATCTGTATGGACGTCCTGAGTCTTGCTGCTGAACAAACAGCACAAAACACAGGAGACTTCATTGGAAGAAATGTCTCTTACTTTAGTTTGTCCCTCAGTTTCTTCTTAAGGTCAAAAGTCATGAATCTGAATTTAAGAACAGTATGCACTGACCTGATAACAATCTACATGAAATGTATGAAAAGCTTAGAGATTCAAAGGTTTTTTAACAGAGACCTGATTTTAAAATCTTTAGCAAAACCTGCAATAAACAATAAAATGAAGGGGCAACACTTTCCCTCAACCTGGGCACTTGTGTACCTGTGCTCTGGGGTCATACTGCAGTGCAGATAACACTCATGTTAGGTCAGACCAAACGGTATGAAAGAAAAAGCAAGTATTTCATTTCTGGGCTCTGATTTAAGACAAGGTTCTCCCTTCCTGGATGGGGCCTCACCTGTGAGCTTCCACTTCACTTACAGTTTAACTCCAAAGATCCTTCTTCGAGGCATTCTCTGCAGTGTGTTCTCCTCTCATTCATCATGAATTCAAGCTTGCACATAGATGTGTATGTATAACGTCTAACATATCTACAATGAACTCATTTGAATGCGTGAAGAACGACAATGACTGAGGCATCCCATAGTCAGACTGACGGCTGCCGCAGTTCAACGGGATAAAGGCTGAGGGAGGCACAGTCATAGAAACCTTCCTTTGTTGAACTCCCGAACATCATGAGACAAACAGCTTAAAGTTGCAAGTGTCCATTCATCATGTTGGAGAGGCACCGATCAGCTCCTTTAATGTCCCTCCAGAGTGTGAGTGTGTTTGTCTGATGCCCCCAAAGAAGTCTGTTACTCCACCCGAGACTCCAAGGAAAATCTGTCATGCTAAACTATCAATGTTTTCACAGTTGTCACTTTATCTATCCAACAGGATTTATGATTTCCAAGGTAGATAACTGCAGCACCCAGAAGAGAAGAAGGTAAGTACTGTAGACCATCTACCTCACTGATCAGGTCTGTCCTTGGCTTCATCATAAACCACTACTCTTTTTGGATCTACAGCGGAGGAGAGAGACAGGAGGTTCAGTTACTGACGATGAGGTGATTTATTGACTCAATCGCAATATTACAATATATTATTTAGGCAAACCTTCTTTTGTTAAATAACAGCAACAACACCAACACTGGTGTCAAACACAACAACAAAACTCAGCCCTTGTATTCATGGAATATTTAATTGTAGCTTGTGGTGGATCCACCAGCTGTACGTCACACTCAGTAACTTCACTGCAGTGTCTGTCGGTGACTACCTTGAGTCTGTTGTTCTGTCTTTGATGGACTTACTGAACAGCTGTCTGTTCTCTAGAGACACGTCAGAGGCTTTAAAGCAGTGCTCATATCTGTCCTCAGAGTTACAGCAAGATGTTTGGTAAAGAAGCTTCAGGTTGTTTCTGAGCAGGTTTCCAGTATTCATGAACTGACGTGATATATTCAAAACTTTTATAATATGTTCTTACATAGATCCAATTCTTATTGACAAAACTGAACTGTCTAAACACTTCTAAAAATGGATGTTAGGAAAACGTAACAGACTCAATTTACCTTGTTTTTGTATGTTGAATATGGATTCCATTTCTGTTGAAGAAAAACAAAATGATTATTTCAACATCTGCATTAATTGATCATGAACAATTATTTTCAGAAAATCCAATACTGATCACTCAAAAAAAAAACATTGTTTTTGTTACTGCTGATTTTTAATGTATATACATTAATGGTAAAATACTTTTCACTCTCTGTCAAATCAGAGCTGTTGATGGCTAGTGCTAATGCAAACCAAACGCTTCACATTGAACACTGCTGACACACGGGGTGGCTGTTATTGTGAAGCACTGACTAAAGACAAGATATATAGCAATAATAACATCATAATAATAAATTTGTCACTAAGGTTTGCACTAATACATGATTGTTCGTGGGTCATGTTCTGGTGGGGGTGGTGAGGGTGTTCCTGGCCAATGTGAATTTTTCCTGTGTTATGTTGATTGACTTATTGCCAAACAAAAATTAATAAATACTGAATTATTTTACACACCTCCAACTTCTCTGTCATGTGACAACGCATTGCTCAGCATGAAGTCATAATGACTGACTGACTTCTTTACTAAAATGTTTTTTTTAAGTTTGATTTTTGCACTGTAAACAGACCAGTTGTTCTTCTGTTGTATTTCTGACTAAACAACCTCAGGTGTCACTTAAGGAATGAAAACTTAAAGATTAAAACTTCAATGTTTAGACGAATTAATTTGATGAACAAAGTTAAAGTTACCTTTAGTGTGATAAGTGACAGCAGCTTTAACATCAAAGGAGCCCCAGCTACACCTTCTGCCAATGTCTTTAGAGTGGGCCTGTTCTTTAGATGAGCCAAACAGCAAAGTGGTTAGCTGGCCCTGCGCAGGCTTAGCACCGTTGTCTTTACTGGGGGCCGGCGTAGCAGAACCTGCACCCTTGGCCTCGACTTTTGTCTTTTCCTGGCCACATGGCTGCAGCTTGTTCTCCTCCTCACTCATCACACAAGCAGGAGAACAAGCATTAGACACATTGCAGGGGGCACAAGTCCTTTTCTCAGGGTCTTGAGCCAAAGTGCCAGGCTCTAAGAATGACGGGCTAACGTCAAAGCAGGGCTGCGCAGCCTTGGCTGCAACAGCCTGACACTCACTTTGAGGTGTGACCACAGTAGTTTTGTCCTCTGCAGGCACCTGTCCACTTCCTCCTTCTGGCCCCAAGTTGGGCTCATTGATGAAGGAAAGCCCCCACTGATTATGGAAGATGTCTCCCAAGGCTTTCTGATTTGTCTGAGCAGCCGGTGGGTCGAGGTGACGAGCACTGGGGAGCACAGGTTGCATATTTAAAGGGTAAATTAAAAGAGTACACTTTCTATGCTCATATGCTTCTCCGTCTACAGGACTGGTTGTAGAGCTACAGTTACTTTCCAAAGGAGATGCTACATTCTCGCCACTTGGGATAGATGGGGCTGGTGGAATACTACTAGCAGCAGGAGCAAAGAAGGTACCCACTGACGGGCAGCCGTTTCCATTTCCAGAAACAGGACCATTAGTAAAGCTAGCTGAGGTGATAGTTTTCATAGCAGACATAGGGACCTGTGACAGTCTAACAGGAGGAGGCAGTGCCTCTCCTCCACCTTGAGCTACTTTGTTGAGGTTCTCTTTTACTTTACTTGCATAACTGATCTTGGGAACAATTTTAGCACTGCTATTGTCCACAGGAAATACTGGAGGGGGCTTGAATAAAGTCCAGGAGTCCTCTTTTGAAGGTGAGGAAAGCTTGGCTTTGTGCCTTTCCTCAGTCTTTTTACCGAAGGTGCCAACTGTTTTGCCATCAGAGCTTTTCCTCTGAGATTCACCCATTGTAGCCTCTGACGCAACAGCCCGTCTAGCTGCTGACTGAGCTTCTACTTTATGGGTGGCTCTAAAGCCATCGAGTCTGGAAGTCACCCCCTTCTCAGTCGTCTCAAGATTAAAAGCCCCAGCCTCCTGTGTAGTGTTGCCCTGCTGCATGCCTTTCTCCTTGTCTCTCATCACATTATCAGTGTTCTTGGCGTTGTTACATCTGGCCTTGCGTTTCTTCGGAGTAGTATATCCACCTTCAGAACCGCTTCCATCATTGTCCTTGCTAGAATAGCCATTTGTAATTAAGCCACAGTTTACGACGCCATTTTGAAGCAACACAGAGTCTTTCTTATCCAAAGGTTGGCCCTCATGATGATTCAAATCCAGGGCCTTTTCCTTGTCATTCTTAAGGTCCATATTCTTCTTATGGTCCAGTCCTTTGCTGCTCACTCTTGGAACAGTTGTGTACAGCTTTTGTGTTGACTTCTGCTTCACATTTGTATTACTTGTGTGTCTGTTACCATTGCTGTTGGGGGGATGTGACATACCAGCAGTATCAGACAGGTGTGTATTCTTCTCCCCCTCCTCGTCACTGATGTTTACTTTTTTATTGCCTGAAAGGGGAAACAAAATCAGTTTATACTGAAATGATGGAACATCTCAGCCAATCTGTGAAACATCCTTGTAGAACTGCTGGACATTTTACAAAAGGCTGCTTCAATTAATTTTCCCTTTCCCACTTATGGAAAATAAAATATATATAAATATTTTGCAATAAGTAACTTTTGGGTACTCTACTCAATGTTTGATAAAGTATTTATAATGCAGTAATGAGTAACACAGGACCGTAGCTGGAACTGGTGTTTCCAATGCAAACCAGAAACCTGCAGTATAAGTTTGAAAACAATTCATTTGCTGTTCACAGTAACTTTATTCTGAAAATAATCACAGTAGTTAATGTTGTTATAAGAGCTTTCAATTGTAAATTGATATTGTTGTCCAACAGGTGAGACAAGGACAGACCATCAGACAAGAGAATAAAATACCTGGGCCATTGTCAGTTAATGGTTGTGGTGTTGCCTGAAAATAAACCCCCTAACTCATCCAACGATGAGCTGGTGTTCATTGTATTTAAGGTGTCATGGAGATGTGATGTATTTCTTATAACTGCATACTGGGCTGTTCGTTGATTAGCTTTCTGGAGAATACCTGATATGACATCAAAGACCAGTTGTTGCCAGGTGTAAAAAAGAGGGCTAAGCTGCATTTATAAATACATTTTGACTGGCAGTGAACCATAAAGAGGTCTATGCAGCGAGACATGAGAACTGCTGTGTCAACGTGGGATTTTCCCATTCAGTGTTACTGCCCCTCATGTCTGTGGGCCACAGCACACTCTGCACACAGCCCGGTTCACTTTAGTTTACAGAACTGGTTTCACAGACGTGACAGCTGCGAGCAAAACAAGGTCGATGGTTACAGTATGTGTTAAGAGCAGCAAACCAGGGCTTTATCAAGTGGTCATAATGAAGCTGCTGCGTGGCTTCACGTTAACTGGTCAACATGCAACAGGCCTGTCAGAGATGGCTAGCGTTAGCTAATGTCAACTAACCAGCGGCTCGCTCGGTATTAACACGCCCTGGCACCAATACGTGGTTATGACATAAGATAGCCACCCAACCCCCGCAACCAAAGTACGTTTAAAAACGACCACTACATGCCAGTACGGCAACGCGCAGTGGTTTGACGGAGATTCCTTACTAGCCAGTAACAGATGATAGCATTAGCTAGCAGATATATTCTAACATGGCCGACAGGAAACGGCAGCTCAGAACATTCCAGTGGAGCCGGCTCGTTTTCCTAAACTGGACACAGGCATGCTGAAATGAATTAGAGAAAGCTTAGACTATTGTTGAAGACGATACACCGTGCACATATAACAGGTGACGCGTTTACAATACACGGTGACCCAGCGTGATTCTCTGAAAAGATTTAGTTACGTTAGCAGAAGAGAAATGGGTGGTGAAACCGGCGCACAAGGTCAATCCCCGATATGTCAAACCACCACCAGCGACAACTGTCACGCAACGTCAGCTAGCCAACTAGCTAACTTGACGGTTAGTTTGCTGTCCCACAGTAGCCAACTGTCGGTGTAACCAGCCAGCTGCTCGCCAGTTGTAATGTCTCTTAAAATATTGCGGCCAACAGCTTATAGTATGCAGTAACAGCTAGCGAACAGGCTAAGCCCTCAATCACGATGCTGTTCACATTAGTTAGCAAATGCTAGTCGGCTCGTTGACATTAGCTGACTAAGGCTAGCAAGCGTTAGCTAACTTTTCCGGATGGCCCAACCTGTTTTCTTCGTCTGCGTTTCCTGATGCTGGCGCTGGAAGTGGCTCTGATCATGTTTTAGACAAGTTGTATGTTGAATAGAGTTTCTGTCCTCTCCGTGGTGGTGGTACTGTCTGTCTTGTGCCCGATCTTTGGGCTGTTCCTCCATTGAAGTGTAGAATGTCGGACTTGCTCAGCCAGTGTGTTAGCTCAGTGGGTAAGTAGAGAGCGGTCCAATCACTACCAGTGTAAAACGGAAGCTATTTGAAGCCTGTGTAAACGTCAGCAGTAAACGTCTAAAAATGGCACTGTTTTGGGTGGTCACCGCCACTAAATTCAGGTCCTGTCTTTGTGTTGAGACGTGCAGGGGACATTATCCAGGACTTTTCACTTCTCAGCAGATGTTTAAACTGACATTTCACCCTAAATAACGGACACGCGATATTAAAAAATGTGTTCAGGGTGGGCAGTAACGGGGTGGGGTTCGTGTATGATCTAAAATCATATGACCGGAGGCTCTGCCACGTCTCCAGCCGGTGGACACACTTTGGTGAAGGGTCCCGGGGAGACCAACCCCACTCCCAAAATGGAAAACCAACTTAATGCAAATTCACTACCTCTGTCCTCAAACATTCCCAATTAACTTGTTAGTGTATAACCATGTCTCGAATGAGAAAATAGAAAAATTGAGCCATGTTCCTGTTGTTTGTTTGTTTGTTTGTTTGTTTGTTTGTTTGCATTTGTGCCAAAATGAGCAAAAATAAAAGACTATACTCAGTAAGGGTGCACACATAAATAAGCAATGTGCAATATGCACAGCACAATATGTGAAACACTTTTGCACACTGCATAATTATATATCAGTGTTGTGTGATACATTTTATATGCTATGCATCTTTCTTGCTCATATAGAATTGAGCCATCTTACATGTAATAAAACAGCCAGGGTTCTGATCCACCGCTTCCTGCATACAAAATACATCGAGAGAGTCACTTGGAAAGTATTCCACCATCACAAAACACAAATAGACAATGAATGTATCTAATGTGCAAAGATTTTAGCACTTATCCTCAGTGAGTGTTTGCATCACCCTGTTATATAACACGTTGATCTGGCTTAATTGCTTGTGTTTGACAAGTCAAACAGAGAGTTAAAATGTACTACTAGGGTTTGGGTTGGATTACAGTAACTAACTCACATTGTGTGAGAGCCATAGTGTAGGCTGACATTAAATTCAAAGTCTCACTCAAAAATGGAAAAAATTAAATAAAAATAAGAGCAGTTATTATATTAGACATTCCACATTAAAATCTTGTGCAAGTAAGAAATTGTCTTGTACTGTCCTGTATGTAATCTTGACTGTGTGGGTAAGTGTGACAGTGTAAGTTGTTCACATGGGACATAAAAGAACCAGCAGCTCCCTCTGGTGGCCAGAGATCCAGACTTTGAATCAGAGGTTGTGTTGTATAGATGTGACAAACTGTCTTCAAGAGTTTCTGTCCTTGTCTTTGGTGTGGATAAAGTTCTGGTTTTGGCCATTCCTGCTGTGTGAAGACAAGCTTAATGTATCAGATCTAATGATTAAGATAAAGTATTTTGTCTTTTTTAAAGATACATTTTATTACATAGGACAGTTTCTTTAATAATGTATGTATGTCACAGTTCTTAGAAAAAAGAAAAAAAAATCCCTTTAATGCTATAGAGCACCCAGCGCAGCCTTTACTATATGCAGCCATGTTCTTCCCACTGTATATGCATGTGACAGCTGCCATTTAAATGAAATATTGATATGACAGCTTCATTTTATGACAAGATTTATTTTAAAAATGAGACGAGCTCTCTAGAGACGGACCAAGTCCTCAGTGATGTGCAAACAGAAATGCTAATCCAGCAATATGTTAAAACCTCATGTGCGAGGTACTGAGCTTCAATCATGGGAACAACTCAGACACAGCTATCAGTGGCATTTTGCACATTTACTACATAAAAGTAGAGCAAAGATTAAGAATAACCTTGACTGAGAAAAGTATTAGAGGGACTGGTTGGACACTTCAGGCCTCAGAGAATGACACAGTTTGAAATGTTAAATATCAGAGTGAACATTTAGTGAAATCCTTGCATTTACAGAGAAGAATAAAACAAATTTTGTCATATTACATATGAGGGTTAAAATGAACAGATACACTATGATGCATTCAGCATTTCAAATTAAAGCATTTCTTTATTGTATATTGACCAAAGACCAGGGAGTTTCAGTTTGTTTCTTATAGTAAAATTAACATAGAAAATGTAGTCTCAGTGTAAAACATAGCTGGGCTTTGTTAAACATCAGTGCAACACCCACAGTGAAATAATGTGCTTTTATGTACCTTAATAAGCCATTCCCACTACCCAGCAAACTGAATTCAACCTCATTGCTAAAATGATATATTTAATATGAAGATATCTACTGATTTAATTTGAATGGAAACTAATTGGAATACTGCACCACTCTCCAGAACATACAGTATCATCTAATATTATTTCATCAATTAAATTAATTTGTTACTCTTGTTGAAGGGTTGACTATTGATGATATAAATCTCTGGACAATATGCAAGTTTGAAACTGAAAGCTTGATCTGATGGCTGAAATGGTTGAGATGAGTGATAAATAAAAGGCTAAGTGAGTGCCATGTCAATATATCAGTACACAGTGATGTCTAAAAATCCTTCCTTTCCTTCTTTACACACTGAGGGCTTTAATTTAGATTTGAAACACATTTCAACAACAGATTTTTCTGGTCTTTATTACAGATATGTTTCCTTTTAGGTGCTTCAAAATGTAATTGAACTGATAAATATTATTTTAGATAAAATAGTCATGTTGTATAAAATAGCATTCAGTCCTAAAAGATTGCAGCTGACAAAGAAACAAAGTATTTTAGATGAATGTATTTCCCAGGTCTATAAAGCACAAAGGTGAGAAACACAACAGTTGTTTCAAAGTGTAATTCCCACTTATATGATAAATGTGATATATGTTTTGTCTCTGTGATATGAAACCTATGGCTCAGGACACTGTTGACCAGAGACAGTAGTACACCAGTAAAAAGTAGTGCTGCAATCTGAATACATGTGCACATACAGTATACAGGTGATATAAAGACGTGACTGCACACTGACGTGTACCATATATATACTATATATATATATATATGTATACGTATATATATATATATATATACACATATATGTGTGTGTGTGTATATATATATATATATATATATATACATATATATATAATGTATAAAGCATCAGTGCCAATAAAAAGTGCATTTCTTTGGAAGTATTAAAAATGTAAAGAAATCGTTGGACTCTTCCATGTCACAACACATCTGGTATGGCTCAGCTGAGGACTCTGAGCCTGTAAATGTTTCAGTGAGCAGAGCAGAATCAAAGGTATCCAGTGTCTTTATGGCCCTCGGTTGTTGTGATGTCACAACGCGGCTTGAACGTCTTCATGTCGTAGAACTTTGTAGGTAAGCCAGTACAGGACATTAAACATGAGGAAGCTCATGGGGAAAACAGCTCGGGAGATGGTGTCAATCCTTTTAGCCCGATCCACAAAGCGCCTGCGTATGTCATAGAAACCTAAACCTGGAGGTAAATCAGCAAACACCGGGGTCGCATCCATTTCCGGCGCACTTCCTGTTGACAGTGTGAGTCCAAAACTCTGGAAGAGTAAACCCTGCTGAGCCAGCTCCTCCTCCTGGAAGAAAAGACACAGCACAGAGTAACTCTGCTCTCACTGAGAAACACACGTCTATTTTAGTATACGTCTGTTGTCTTTTTGAGGCAGTGATCAGCTGGTGTTAAACCGCAGTACACACCCTAGCACAGGCGCTGCACTGCTGCCCCCCCCCATGAGGAGCACTGTTGCCTGACGTGTTGTTTCCTTTCACTTTACTGTCACCACTCCCCTGCTGATGGAGACAAAAAGCATGAGACATGAATCCAATCATCAAACAGACTGCGATGTTTTCAACTCCGCTGTGCTGCATATATGTTTCAAACACTAACAAGTAATCATCATCGTTTCTTACTAAGTGAATACAAGTCTGACGTTAATGTGAAGTGAGACAGCTTGAAGATGTCGTCAGATTACATTTCAGTGGCATTGCATGATCCAACAACTGAAGGATTTCAGCAGATGGTTATTGTATTGTGGTATAAATATTAAAAGGTATTAATGAACCCTGCAGCTGCCGTCACACTGCTTCACTTAAGAAATATTTTACTTTAAAGGTGGTTCAGCCTGTTCTGTCTCCACTATTCTTTCTTCTTCTCATGAAATCCACAGTGAGGCAGCAAGACGTACAGAATATTCAGCCAGCAGTGGGATAAGGTAATGGCTTAAATTAATTACAGGTCAACGCTGTCTGCGTTTCCCGGCTGGGGTGCAACATGCAGCTGAGTTGTGTAGCTCGTGCATAGCTGGGCACAGAGAATAGCAGGTGACAGCCGCCTGGGGGGCTGAGTGGGTGGGTTGCACTCACAGTTCTCTGCCGCTGCTGCTCTTTGAGCTTCCTCCTCAATCTGAAGAACTCCTTGTGCTGGCGTGAAACAAAATTAACGGCTGCATACTCCAGGAGTGCAGCAAACACGAAGAGAAGACAAACTGCCATCCAGATGTCTATGGCTTTCACATAAGAAACCTGAGAAACCATGAAAATATCAAATGACTCAAGTCAGATTCTATTAGTGTTCATGACGTGTGAGGCAGCGACATGAAAGTCTACGAAATTAAAACAAAGTCAAGAATGAAATGTCAGATTACACTGTGTCTTCATTGATATTAAACAGAGGCAGCAGTGTAAATATTATTTAAGTAAACTTCACTAAAGTAATAGTCTAAGATAATAAATAAGTATTAGTACAAAAGTATGAGCAGCTTTATGCTCTTTATGCAGAATGATCCCTCAGTATTATTAACATGGAAACGGTGCTTTAATATTAAACACTAGGTCAAGGAGAGAAGTGTAACTGCTTGATATATTTCTGGTTTGATGATGATATTATTTATTACCTGACGATGTGTTCTGTGTGTAAAACTTTAATCTGAGAAGTAACTGGTAACTGTCAAATAAATGTAACTGAATGAAAAGAACAAATTTGTCTCTGACATGATGAAAATAAATATAAAGTAGCAATAAGTTAAATACTCAAGTAAAGTACAAGTACCCCTGGACGTAAGTACAGGACTTAAGTAAATGTACTTAGTTGAGAATTAATTAATTAAAATTTGAGAAGGTGCAACTTTATACATTGTAGTTCAAACTTTACCAGCCACAGCACTGAAATACCTCCATTATAACAATAATTCAGTATTATAATACATAATAATATTTTAAACTGTAAATGGGCCATTCTGCATAATCAGAACTTTAACTCTTTGATATTTCCTGAGAACATCTGAACTTTTGCCCAAAACCTTTAATGCAGGACTTTTACCTGTGGATTTTAACACTCCTTTTAATTAAATAAAAGTCTGTGTACTTTTTCCATTATTGCATTTTTAACCGTTTCCACAGTCCTGGGACATTGAACCAAATATCAGGCTCAATGCATCATCAATGAAATGTGGGGTTGAATTGACTGGAACAAATAGTTCTGCACCTGTAGTCAAAATCCGGCAAAGTTCACTTTAGAGCGGATTCAGAAAACCAGAGTCCAGCCTGAACCTGTGCGGTCAGGTTCATTTCTTATCTTATTGAGATTATTAACATCTCTGCTCCCAATAAAAATAAAGATGAAAATGACATGATGGTTTCTCCTCATGAGGCAACAGGAAGTAATTAAATTAAAATTAGAAAAGTTCAGTGCACACATTCAACCCAATGACCAGTTTTTCAAGAATCTATAATAATCAATAAGTAAGTTGCATCTTCTACACACAAACCAAAATGTCTGACCTTTGGCAGGGAGGCCCTGGAACCGGAGCTCTGCGTTGTCATGGTGAGGACTGTGGTGATGCCCAGTCCCACTCTGGCTGGAGCTGCGTCCATGTTGATCCAGAACGACACCCAGGACAGGATGACCGTGAGCAGGCTGGGGATGTACATCTGGATCAGGTAGTAGCCCATCTGACGCTCCAGGTAGAATTTTACCTCAATGCAGGTGAATTTACCTGAGACAAGAGGAGACAGGTGCAAACTGACAGTCTTATTAGAAGTTGATGGCAGCATCTGTCAGGCGTGTTGGACGGCAGCTTGTCATGCGTCATGTACCTGTGTTGTAGTGCTTGGTGCAATAGCCAAGGCCTTTCTCCTCTTTCAACACAAACTGAGGGAGCGTCAGGTCGTCGGCCACCTGCACCGCCCCCACATCCAGCCATTCAAAAATCAGATCGTTCATGGTGTAGCCGACTGCAAGATAGACACAGGTGTATGACATGTTATCAGTTTATGAATCTGTGTGTGATGTCATCCCCACCATGAATAGTGAACTTACAGCTTTCAAGCTGCATGGTGCACGTCTGGCTGTCCATGGGGAAGTTCTTCAGATCCATGGGGCAGGAAAGAGTAAGAGTCAGCCTGGAAAACACAGACAGCACCTCCATAAAGGAATGAAACCCTCACACTCTATCCATGTCTGGATGTGTGGCTCCTCCTAAACCCCACAGCACCAGCTATTTCCTTCTCACTCACCGACAGTAAGACACACATCCAGCTGCTCTGACCCCTCAGAGCGTCTCCTCTTCATCTTTTTATTCCTCTGTACATGATGTGTCATTACAGAAGAGGACCTGTACACTTATAGGGTGTTGCATGAGTCCCTGAACCCCACCATTAAGATAAAAGAGAACGCACTGAAGTGTGGCACTGAAGCAGCGGTGAATCGTAGCGTAATGGTAAGAAGTTGTAACTAGAATAAACTGTAGAGAAGAGGATGCCATGTTTAAAGCTCTGTTAGTGATTCTGTTCACCTCAGAGGACCAGAGCTGCTGACAGACAACATTTCAGCCTTTTGAAAGCCCCCCTCCCCCTGAACCCGCTGAGTTTCTTTAGCTAACACAGCGTCCTATGTTGAGTTATGATGTCTGTCACGTATTTTACATTCTGTTTTTCACTGTGTTAAGGAGAAGAAGAAGAGGGAAGTGATTGGTGTTGGTGCTTCAGTGTCATCCAGAGATACTGTGGTGTGTAAGTGACTGATTCTGACTGTATGAGCCTGTTGCTTTGTTGGTTGATGGTTAATCCATTAAAGGTTCATCCAGAGAAACTGATGATGTTTCATGTGTAACAGAATCACTAACAGAGCTTTAAACATGGCCTCCTCTTCTCTACAGTTTATTCTAATTATAACTTCTTACCATTACGCTACGATTCACCACTGCTTCGGTGCCACACTGCTGACCTAATCCTGTGTTAGCCTGCAGTTACAGTGTGGGCTGGAAAACACAACTGAGCTGAACTGAAGTGAAACAAACATGTCATTTATTCATTTGGCCACTAAACAAACCCTGGATCTGGACTGTTAGTGTCAGACAGAGACACATCCTGGTGCATCATCTACAGTCAGGATCACCTGATGCTGTAGAGGACATTTCCATTCTGGAATATCCGAAGCAGTTTGTTGTCCGTCGTAACCTCATGGAAGTTTGCTCCCTTCTCATTTGCAAAGAACAGGTCGGGTTTCCAAATGGAGTCCAACATGGAGGGGTCCAGGTCCAAAGAGTCATCTGGATACTCCTTATATGCCAGTCGAGGGTCATTCCACTGCTGTCTCAGAAATACATTGAGGCGGTAGTCCTACAGTACAGAGTTAAGCCATCATTAGTTTCAGATATTTTGCATCTAATTATAATTACACATTTTGATAAACTGTGTGAGAGTGCTGAGATCAAACAGTAAGTCAGTCAGAAACAAATGAAGCAGCTAAGGACCACTGTACATACTGTACATGCTGACTGACAGCCTAGAACGGCAGCAAACAGTTTACAGCTTGATCAGTTAAAAACTGATGAGTCTTCCCAACTCTAAACTTGAATAAATACAAAAAACCACCCAAAACTCTCTATGGGCCTCCTTAATACAGGATGGCCCTTGACGTGATGAGACATGAGAAAATCATGGCTAACATTATGTAATGAACTTAAAGAGAGTGTGTTTACAGTCACTAATTAGTCATAATCTAATGACAGGATGTTTGGGAGTCATGAAATTTGTTCATCCAGAGAGCCAGAAATTCTTCAGATGAATCAACATCTGCTGAGTGGGCATTAAGCAGCTGTATCCAACAACATGGACTGAAGTCCCAGCATGGCAGCACTGCACTGATGGTACAACATACGGAAATATTTCCGCTCTCTAATTCAAACAGCTTTGAGGTATTTGTACTTTAGTTATTCCATGTTTCATGACTATTACTCACTATTTTACTTTTTACTCACTTCATTTCCTGACACTTTAAGTTATCAGCTACTCTTCAGATCCAGATCATTGATGATTATATAGTTCAAATAAATGATGATTTATTATTTGAGAGGAAGAATATGAACACATTAAAATGAGCCTCATCTTGACCAACTACAGCATTAAAGTGATGAGCCACTCTGTGAGCACTCTCACTTTATGATGGTAAAACTTTAAAAAGTACTTTAACTTCAGTAAAATACTGACTGACTCTTAGAGCAGAATAAACTGATGATCATCAAATTCTCACCATAGTTGTTTCAGTGATGGACCCGAAGCTGTTGATGAAGATGTTACAGGTGACGTTGACAGGTGGACCTGACAGAAGCAGATCACACATCATGTTTTCTTAAATACTACTACAATGTTTTCTGACAAGAAGAAGGAGGTTCCTTTCATAATGAGCCACACTTTGTCCTGATACATAGACTCATCCATGATAACCAGAATGAAATTGTGTTGTCATTTCCACTATGCTCCCATTAGTGTAGTCCATCTGTCGACCACTGAAACTGTAAATATTTCAGTGACTCATTTCCTAAGAGGCAATAATTTATTGATTCTCCTTTAGTTACATTAGTGTATTTATAGATAATCGGTCGGGATTTACCCAGCATGCACTGACAAGGATGTGGAGCAAGTATGAAATATATATGAAATGCGACCCCAGAGGCTGAGGGGGAAGTGTGTCAGAGAGAATCTGCTGGACTCACTCATGAGAGAACTCATGAAAAAAGCCTGTGGTGTAATATACAAGGGCAACTGCACATTTCTGACAAAGATCTGAAGGAGTGTAAAAATACCACAACCTGAGGCTGCAGCACAGAAACAGTGACAACACATGACAAACAGAAGAATCAGAGCCTGCAGTGTCTCTCACTTCTGACCCATCTGTGGTTGATTTGTGCTGCTTCGCTGCCCCACTGAACAGCGTTCTCACACCTGTCCTGACACAGGACGTCCTCCCACCGCCCACCACACCACCCTACCTTTGAAGTTCGGTCTGATGCGGGCGTCATAACCAGATGTGCGTCCCATCAGTTTGTCCAGAAAGTCAGATGGAGAGGGGGGCTTGGCTGCTCTACTGGGGAACTTCATCTCCTTACAGAGCACAGACCTGCGAGGAGATGGCTCATCACACTCTGATTCTGATGATTCTGAATACCTCCAAGTATTAGACATTCATTTGTGCTACAGATGTTCAACATCGGACAATTCAGCTAGAAGAGGTACAGAGTTTAGCATCATGCATTTTGTAATTGATAGGTATCACATACTGAACAAGGCTCAGATCAGATGTTTGAATATCTTCAGTGAAATCATCAGTGAAATCACTCGTTCGTACTTTAATCCTCCATCTTACATTAATGAACATTTTCAATTAATGGAACTGTTCTCTTAATTATAGATTACAAAATATTTAATGCATGATTCTTTTCACTTTAAGATAACCACAGTGTTGACATGCCTGTGGTCAAAGAAGCTCATGTCCTGCCTTCTTATTAACAGTACTGCCATCAATGTCAAATCACATTAAACACTGTCAAATAAACACGCTGTTTAATTCTCCTATTAACTGAATGAAGATTGAGATACTCCAACTTTAAATTGTGTCTTACCTGCCTTGTAGAAAAACGAAAGATGAAGTCCACGTCATACAAAAGATGTGCCACAACATTCTTAGTTTCCAGAAACAACAAATGTTTAAAGGAGAGAAAAATAAGAAAGAAAAACACTTAGAAGAAGAGAAGTTGTTGTTAGCTCTTCCAGTCAGACTCTGTCTTCTGGGCTCAGCTCAACCTCCCTCTCTGCAGGTGTAAAATACAGGAAGCTGCTGCTGTATAATTCAAATCCAAGGGAAGTTTTTTTCTGCCTGTTTGTGTGGATGACTTCAAGCTTTATCTCTTTTTTATGGCCATATGCATGCTGAAGGAATTGCTGCAAGAACATTTAAAGAGACAGGACCACTTTCATAGCAGAGTGGCCTCACATTGCTCATCATCATCATCATCATCATCATGACAGTATCAGATTAGCAGAAACATTTGGGATTCGAACCAGAGATAAAAAATATTAAAACTATTAAATATAATTTATTCTAAAAGATGTTATATAAAGATATATTTGTTATATCATGTTGTATCATTGATCAGTGATTATTAACCCACATCCAAAGACTTGATGAAGCCAGTTCATATGAAATATTCAATAACTAATTAAAGACTTTTGTCTCTTATTTCAGAACCTTCACATCAGATTAACCCCTGACATCGTCCACTGTGTTTTTCACAGTGTGCAAATAAACTATTGATTGTAAAGTAAAAAAAAACAAGCCAACATTATCAGTATATAATGTCCTATGTCTACAGATGTTTGGAATAGATTTTAATTTAGATCAACTAAGGAAATCATTTAAACCAATTTAAAAAATCCTTATCAACAAAGAACATAACGTGATCACGGCATCTTCCAGACTGCAGATTTCAGACAAAGGTCTGTTAACAAGATCATTGTTGCTTTCAAAAGGGTGAAAAGATGAAGCTCCAATTAATTCAAGTCCAACACATTTCTGTGAGTGTCAGTACAGATTCAGAGGTTCTTTATCTTAAAGTTTCTGGTCTAATTATTTCATTTTCAAATCGCTGGTCAAATCCAGATACAAATGTAGAAGCTCATGTTTATTCCTTCATACAGAGGCAGAGGCAGTTCAGCCATTTACTCATGTAAAATTAATGTCAAAGAAAGCAATGGGACGTTATGGCTGCACGTGTTTGCCTCATACTTGAAAGGCCATTCCACACTTCGCTCTGAAGCCCACAGTGTCAAATAGGATGAGAAATGTGTGAGAATATGAAACATGAATCCTAATAACAAGAAGCCCACAGTTAGAATAAACTGTTTCTGCATGCTTGAGCATTTTTACCTCCGGAGAAGATAAGTAGGCCAAGCTTCATTTCAACGCTGTTTTTGTTGAAGAGCACATTGGACCTACTTATTTAGATTGTAATTCCACACACTGTAAAATGTCATTAATGCAAGTCTGCCTGTACAACATTAAGTGCTTTTATCTGAGGTTAAACCTTCAACATGGCCTCAGTCAATCTTAAGGTCCATCACAGTAAATGTGCCGGGCAGTACACACTGATGCTTCAGGACAGATGAGCTGAACCATCAGTCACAGCTCAGATTAATGCAGGTCAACTTATCATCAGAGACATTATCAAGAAGCACAAAATGAAAATAAACGGATCAGTCCAATTTAAAAATAGCTTTTATTGCAGCTTTTCTCACGACAAGCTGCTGTGATCACACAGATGATCCATGTTTAACATCTTCAGCCTGGTGGGAAGCGAATATTCAATCACACGAGTTTGGGCGTAGCAGGAAGATGAGACAGTGATTTCTCCTGAATAGAAAAAAAAACTAACGAAACAGGTGCAGCAGATACAAATTTCAAATATGAAAATATTTCAGCCACATGACATAATTTACATTGAACGTCCAGTTTTGTATGCGTGATCATTTGTGTCTTAAACACAGTGGCAATGGCTGCCAAAGTTCAGTCTTCACATTAACAGCTCCATCATCTTAATCTTCGTGGATGTTGAACAGCTTTGCCACTTCGTTCAGATCTGCGTGTTCCTCTCCATCCTTGATGATCTACAAACAGGAGACAAAGACCATTTACATGAACCAAAGATACTGATTATTGATTACGATGACATGTATTTTCCTTACAAAGGGACAGAGTGTACCTTCCTTGCGATGGGCATTCTGTTGAACACATTCCACAGGATGATGCCCACCACCACCTTGTCTCGCAGGTAGAAGATGACTCCTTTGCCGTAGCCGTCTTTGTGCTGCTCCACAGCAGGTGCAGGTGTTGAAGAGGCCACTGGGCTCACGGCTGTGTCCTCCGTTTCACTCTCTGAGCGGATCCCGGTTCCTGCAGCACGTTTAACGACAAAGGCTCAAAGTTTGTTTTTACTTTGTAGGATTGAGATTTTTCCACCAGACAGTGAATGTACCTGACTTCTCTGTAGCAGCTTTAGGTGTGTCCTTGGCCGTGGCTTTGGCAAACACTCCTACTGTTGGAAGGCTGCTGTCAACGATCCCGATGGCTTCATAGCCCACATCAGGGCCCAGGTCACTCCTGTGACAAACCACATGGACCAATGGAAACATATTGAAGCTCTCTCTCATCACAGATTTCTGTTTCCTGTGCTATTACAAGACTTTTCAGTGCAACAATATTTTCATATCCTAATGATGTTGATTTTAAGCTAAGCCAATATATATTGTCAATGCACATATACTGTAAGGTTAAACCAAGTCATCTCAACTACATCGTCTCAGCAAACAAAATCTTCAGCAGATTTTCATCCTCAGTTTTGTGTATGTGTGTTTCCACTGCAATAACCCATGTTGTAGGTGTCACACTTCGGCAGCTGGTAAAAACAAAAGGCAGCAGTCATCTGTGCAGTGAGGACCACGCTTCACTCTACTTCATAGTTAGTAGAGTGGTTGGTTTAGAGGTAGTTAGTTTAGTTAGTATTTTGATGATGGGCTTGAAAACTGTCTGTCTGACTAATGCAGCCCTCCGCTGCCAACTGCTGCCTTAATGTCCTCTAAAAGCATTTTAAATATTTGATGGTATTCAAGACTTCAGAGCAATCAAGCATTTCATCTGACTTCTAAAAGGATTAAATCTGAGTCATTTGCAGAACTGTACATGCTGCCCCCACTTATTTAAATAAAACCTACAAGCGTGGACGAGTGCAATCAACAATTCAGACTGGCCCTCGCTTTCTAAAGTATCTGCTTCATGTCCAGTTAAAGCTCGTTTCATGGTTTTGAGCCACAGCTGTCATTTGGAAAACAGGAAGTAGTCTAATACCCACCAGAACATAGACTGATGCCAGTAGGGTTTGCTGGCCCCGGTCATGTTCTCTCCTGCTAGTCTACCACTCACAACAGCGTGGTCGTGGTGCTCCACCCGTCTGCGGCCCAGTCTGATGTCGTAGAAACATGCAGCATCTCCTGCCTGAAACGAGGATATGTGACGGATTAGAACGTGTAATTATCATTCCATGTTTAATAATAGCTAATGAGATGGTTTTCATAAAAAAAAAAAACAACAAAAAAAAAAACATGACTTGAGTTTTCATGAAGAGGACACTATAATCAAAGGACAGACTGAAAAGGTCAAACACGTCCAACACTGTGTGTAAACCACATTAAACCTTCTTTTTAAATCCAGTCAATAAAAAAACACTTTGCACCAACTTCCTTTAAAAGTAGGTGCTAACACGTTTCTCTGTGTTTAAATAAATACATGTTTGACCAACTGGAAAAACAAGGGTGAGAGTTCATCTACACATCATGAGCTCAAGCCTTTGAAATGAACTAAGATCTAATGTTCAACATTAAGATTACTGCCACAACCAGTGATGAGTTACTACATCAGGTGAACGTGACAGACAGCCACAGTACTGTACAGAGGTGATAATGTCATCATACAGGTGGAGGGACGATCTGTCAGCTCTTCATGATGATGCTGACTGTTGTTACTGGAAGACCTCAACCACCTCATGAGCTTAAACTTACCACCCAAATATTGGACCTGGCCTGCAGCTCCGCATTGACCCGAAAACCACCAAAGTCAGAGTCCACCTCCAGACCTGCTGACTTAGCAAGGTCACAGTTGGGCTCCAAGCCAACAGCTGCAACAATGTGATCCGTTTTCACCTGCAAGGCAAGGCACACAATAATCAGTGACTAATAAGTCTGTGGATTCCCTGAACTAGACATTACATGTGCAGATATGTGAACCTACCAATCGGCCATCCTTCAGCTGGATTTCTAATTTATCATCTTTGTAGTTCACAGATTTCACCAAAGCTTCAGAGATGATTTTTACACCCTCTAGAAAACCAAGGGGAGAATGTTTTTAACTATTAATGAAAAGAAGATTTTTTATATATGAAGAAAAGCTCCCAGATGAAATGAGGTTCAGACAAGCTATCAAGTGACATGAACCTTTCTTGACTTTTTCTGTTGTCCAGTTGCTCAGATACTCAGGCAGCACTTTTCCCATGTTGCCCTTCTCAGGGAACATCTGTATCACCTCCAGACCAGATTCAGTCGCTGCCAAGAGAAAAAACAACAGAGCATCAACTCAC